ATTTGGTGTCGTCTGCAAACTTGATGATCCTGCCTTCTAGCCCTTCATCTAAGTCATTGATAAAGATCCTGAACAGGACCGGGCCCAGGACGGAACCCTGCTGATAGCACTCCGCTCGTCACTTCTTTCCAGGATGAAGAAGAAGCATTGGCGAGCACCCTCTGGGTTTGTCCATTTAACCAATTACAGATCCACCTCACCGTAGTTTTGCCTAGCCCACATTGGACTAGTTTCCTTGCCAGAAGGTCATGGGGGACCTTGTCGAAGGCCTTCCTGAAATCCAGGTACGCTACATCCACGGCATTCCCCGCATCTACCCAGCTTGTAACTCTATCGAAAAAAGAGCACTTGAAAAAAAAGAGCACCACCTGACAGTGGTGGATCTGGACCAAACCTGGCACACAGATCCTTGATGACAACATAACATACTGGTGTGGTTTGGGGGGGGGGGAGAGAGATGACCCACCTGTGCGGGAATTGTAGTTCACCCTGCATCCAGAAATATTACCAAATTTCCCAAAACAAACAATGCCTTGTTTTTTTAGGGAAATGATTATGACCACCGGGTCCCCAAGCTAGTAACAATAATGATGTTGATGCTCCTTTCCTCCTGTGGCTCCATCCCACTTTGCGTTTTGGTTGCAGCTTCCCCATTTTGTTGACTCATATTTAGCTTGTGATCTGCTCAGGCTTGGTACAAATACTGCTGCTCAGCCACGTGTTCCCCGTCGTATATTTGTGCCTTTCATTTCTCCTGCCTACTGGTAGGTGTTATTTATGTCTCTTCACTCATTTCTGCCTTATGGAGAACCTCAGATGAACTTTTCACGGGGTTTTTCTTGGCAGGAGGCTTTCAGATGGGCTTCACCTTGGCTTTCCGTTTAACCACAGTGGCGGAGTGGGCCTTGCTCAAGGCCATTCAGTGGGCTTCCAGGGCCGAGGGGGAATTTGAACTTGGCCTTCAGCATTGCAATCCAATGATTGTTTCCATTGGATATACAGTGTTCCCTCATTTCTTCTTCTTCTTATTATTATTATTATTAAACTTTATTTGTACCCCGCTAACATTTCCCGAAGGAATCGATGCGGCTTACAAAGGCCAAGGCCTCAACACAACAACAGCAAACAATAACAATACGATACAAAGGAAATTAAAAACATAAGCAATAACAAAACATTACACTATTACACAATAAAAACCAGGGCCGGGCCAGTGATGGGTACAAGTTAAAAAAAGTGCTGGGTGTGAAAGGTGGTATGTTGGGATTCTGGGCAAGTGCAATGTGCAGAGAGTCTTAAACTCTAGTAAAGTGCTTCTGAGACATAGTGCTGGAGTTATCCTATTCTGGAAAGGCACATCAGAATAGCCAGGTCTTCAAGTTCTTCCTAAAGACTGCCAACGTGGGTGCTAGTCTAATGTCTTTGGGGAGGGTGTTCCAGAGTCGGGGGGCAACCACAGAGAAGGCCCTGTCCCTTGTCCCCACCAAACGCGCCTGCAACGCAGGTGGGATCGCGAGCAGGGCCTCTCCGGATGAACGAAGGGAGCGCGTGGGTTCATAAACAGAGATGCGGTCACGCAGGTAGGCAGGTCCCAAACCGTTTAGGGCTTTGTAGGTAAGCACCTGCACCTTGAATTGGGCTCGGTAGGTGAATGGCAGCCAATGGAGCTCCTTAAACAGGAGGGTTGATCTTTCTCCGTAAGGAGCGCCAGTTAACATCCTGGCCGCCGCCCGTTGGACCAGTTGGAATTTCCAAGCCGTTTTCAAGGGCAGCCCCATGTAGAGCACATTACAGTAGTCCAATCTAGAGGTGACCAAGGCATGTACCACCACGGCCAAATCAACCTTTGCGAGGTACGGTCGCAGCTGGCGCACAAGTCTTAGCTGTGCAAAAGCCCTCCCGGACACCGCCAACACCTGAGCCTCAAGCGTAAGTTATGAATCCAAGAGGACTCCCAAGCTGCGGACCTGTGACTTCAGGGGAAGTGTAACTCCGTCCAGCTCAGGTTGCCAACCTATACCCCAATCCGGTTTACGATCGACCAGGAGGACCTCTGTCTTGTCGGGATTGATCTTCAGCTTGTTCTTCCTCATCCAGATAGCCACAGCGGCCAGGCACTCGTCCAGCACTCGAGGGGCCTCCTTGGAATTAGGTGGAAATGAATAGTAGAGTTGTGTGTCATCTGCGTAGAGATGGCACCCAACTACAAAACTCCGGATGACCTCTCCCAGCGGTTTCATGTAGTGCCAGATACTGGTCAAAAGACATTTGCCAATACTGGTCAAAGGACATTTAATCAACTACCATGTTTGCAAAATTTGTGTCTTTTTATCTGTTTGTTTGTTTTGTTCTGTTAGAAATGTAATACAATGGTATGGTTGCTGATGACACAATAAATAAATATTAAAAAACCACAAAATAGTGAGTCCGCGAAAAGCAAACCGCGAAGTAGCGAGGGACCACTGTATTATTATTATTGTCTGACGTTGTTTTGGTCACCATAATTCCAGAAGGGCATGATCATGCTGCAAAATTGGCCCATTGGCCGTCTCTCTGCTTCCTTTTCTCCAGAAAGCAAACACCTCAAGCTCTTGAATTATGCAGCAGGGGTGTTTTGAAGGTGGTGCTCTGAGCGAATCCTCAGCATTGTCCCTCACGTCCTGCAAAACACCTTCAGGGAACAGTCTGTGTGTGTGTTTTTAAAGGGAATGCGGCATTTCATTACCCTTGGGTTGGAACCCTTGGCTCACAAGGATTTCGAAAAGAGGAAATTGAATCAACAATGCTAAGGAGAGATCTCCATCCCTTCAGCAGCAACAGAGAAGGGGCCAACCAGCAAACCCATTGACCCCTTTTCCCACACATAAAGTATCCCATCTGCAGCCAAGGCTCCACGGGGCCGCAACAATGCTCTCCATGACCCAGAATCTATATAAATAAAAATGTAATGTTCGTTTGTGGGATTAACAGAACTCAAAAATCACTGGACGAATTGGCACCAAATTTGGACAGAATACGCCTAACAACCCAATGAGTAACCATCACTCAAAAGGAATCCGGCCCAAAAGTAAATAAATGCAAATTTAAAAGCCTAAAACAATAGCCATTGAATAATATTATTATTCAATATTATTATTACTTAATTATTATTATTTATATAATTATTACATTATCTATATAAATAAAAATGTAATGTTTATTTGTGGGATTAACAAAACTCAAAAACCACCGGAAAAATTGACACCAAATTTGGACACAAGACATCTAACAACCCAATGTATGTCCTTCACTCAAAAAAAATGATTTTGTCATTTGGGAGTTGTAGTTGCTGGGATTTATAGTTCACCTACAGTCAAAGAGCATTCTGAACCCCACCAACAATGGAATTGAACCAAACTTGGCACACAGAACTTCCATGACCAACAGAAAATACTGGAAGGATTTGGTGGGCATTGACCTTGAGTTTTGGAGTTGTAGTTCACCTACATCCAGAGAGCACTGTGCACTTAGTGATGGATATGGACCAAACTTGGCACAAATATTCAGTAAGTCCAAATATGAACACTGGTGGAGTTTGGGGAAATTGGCCTTGACATTTGGGAATTGCAGTTGCTGGGGTTTATAGTTCACCTACAATCACAGAGCATTCTGAACCCACCAACGATGGAATTGAACCAAACTTGGCACACAGTTCTGCCATGACCAACAGAAAATACTGGAAGGGTTTGGTGGGCAGTGTCGTTTGGTTTTGGAGTTGTAGTTCACCTACATCCAGAGATCACTGTGGACTCAAACAATGATAGATTTGGACCAAACTCTACACGAATACCCAATATGCCCAAATGTGAACACTGGTGGAGTTTGGGGAAAATAGAATCTTGACATTTGGGAGTTGTACTTGCTGGGATTTATAGTTCACCTACAATCACAGAACATTCTGAACCCCACCAACGATAGAATTGGGCCAAACCTCCCACACAGAACCCCCATGTGGGCAATGCGTG